ACAGTCATTCCTTTGTCAGAGCTCCATCCAAAAACCCATTGAAGTGCGGCGAAGTGAAACCAAGAATCGCTTTGAACAGCTGACCGTCTTACGTAGTTGTATCAGAATACTCTCACCGTAGAGTTGTGATTTCTTCATAAAATTCATGGCGTGAAAGCTAATCCCTAGCGCCAAATAGGTGATAAAAGGCGTCAGCGCTCAGTTGGGTCAGCTTCTTATGCGCTTTTCTACCACCTTTTCTGCTCCTTTCCTTCGAAATAATTATGGGGATTTACCCACCTGGTTTCAGGGTTTACGAATTAATTAATCGATTTGTTGTTGAAAAAAAGTACCGCCACCACAAAGTGCCGGTGTTACTTAACACTGATAACAGTCTGGTCAGAAACCCACTCACCAGGGTTCGTTTCTGCGTCTTCTTCCTACTAACACCTTATCAACGTTTTTTGGACTTCTGAGGGCTCTAAATGTGTCTTCCCGTTTCAATTCGATCAATGATCTGATATTCAATGTCATCAAATTTTTCAGTGATAAGATGATGACAGGCAAGACTCATAGTGATTCCGAAGTTTTGACTTCGACCTTTTCTTAGTGATGGGAATAACCGTAGTATACCGAGTTCTCTAGAGTCCGCTCTGCAGTTCATTGGAGAATATTGACTGTTTGTCTATTCTACTAGTCTATTTTCATAATACGGTTATATCTCCGGGGATGGTGTAGTGACAAGTGGCGGACTACCACACACATGGTCCACGGTTCGAATTCCGGATAGATAGACAGCTTGGCTAACCAAGCCTTCCATCCCTCCGGGCTTGGTTAAATGGTACCAGACTCTACTGAAAGGACCAAAGCGCAGAAGTGTACAACGGCTTACCAGTCCAACCCATTGTATAGACCACATAAGTATAATATCTATATTGCCGTCATGGTTCCTTTTCTGAGTCGAATGTGGGGCGCATCCCAAATGCAGGCTGATCAGCGCCAAAGACCATCCACCATCCTTTTACGCCATTTAATAAAACGCTCATTCTGACCGTTACTGTTTATTTGTTATTAATTTGAAACAAGTTAAAATACAAATGTTTTCAAAAACTATTGATAGTCCCTCTACGGCGGTGCGCTCTCTCGAAAAGCGGAATTATTTCTTTGCTTTCATTGAGTGATTCGTGGGAATAGATCATCTTTTTTAGCATATCTTATCCTCCATGAAGGAATACTGACCTCAGGGAGGTCGCTGACATATCCCTCCAAGGGCTCCATGCGGCCCCTCACAGATGACCTTCTGAAGTGACAAACTGCCGATATCTTCTTATCGGCTTAGCCTTTGACCTTTTTCGCACGGTTTTGTATAAATCCGTTGGCAGCTTAACTTGATTAANCCTCACAGATGACCTTCTGAAGTGACAAACTGCCGATATCTTTTTATCGGCTTAGCCTTTGACCTTTTTCGAACGGTTTTGTATAAATCCGATGGTGGAACGTCAGCTTAACTTGATTAATTCACTTGTCCTCTCTTGCTCACTCGCTCTGGACCACGATCAACCTTCTTCACCTCCGAGTCTTAGCGCTGTTCCTTCGAGTGCGCCCAGCCTCGCTCAAAATTTTCACACAATCCGTTTACCTCCTCCTTGCTTCCCATTTTTTCAACTAATGATGATTATGCTGGACGGTTGCTCTCCTACAATCCTCTCCTCAGACAAAAGCTGTCTGCGTTTCCTTGCTTCACCTTTGAAAGCATTTTTCTTCCATTGAAAGATACCAGCGTGAAGTGGTAGCAAAGAATACGGTTGATCCGTTTTTTCACCTCAGATATGATTCGCTACTGTATTATTTCGCTGGTGCTTTCTCTACACTCAATCGATGCCTACAAATTCCTTGTCTATTCTCCCATATTCGGCTATTCCCATACAAACTTTATGGGCGTTATAGCGGACATCCTAACGGAAGCAGGACATGATGTGGTGAGTGAAGATTTTTACTATCGTTCAGGTTACGGTATGCAATTTAGTTAAGCATACCATTGAGAAGCCTTCTAAACAGCTTGGTCCTTCACAAAAACCGCTCTGATTCCCTTTCTAAATCTTTTAAATTCAGTTTGTATCGATTAGCGTTGGCTTATGAAAAAGGTTTGAAAGAATGTTTCTTCGATGAAATAATGAGTTATACACTGTCGCTTGGGCACCCTAAATCTGAAGGAAAGTGCTCATAAGGAAATCATGCAGGTTCCCATCTTTGAAGACCTCTATGGTATGGGCTGCTTTTCTTATCCACGTTTCCGTTGTGGGAAAAAATAACGGTGTTTCGAACGCCTGAATTCCTTATCTGACTGTAAACAAGGAGTCTCCAACATGCTTGGCACGTCTCCTATAACGGGGAGCCATCAGTTTTCATATTGTAGACTGTTTTGATGCCATTAATGGATATGGACGAAGTAAATAGGACTGGAGTGAAGTTGACAACGAAAATCATTCGAACACCACAAGATCCACGGGTTGAAGAATGGATGAAATATAAATCAAGTTGGCTTAGCCATATGTGGACAATGCAGCCAAGTGTATTCGCGCTTATGCAGGTGAGCTCAGAGACGGTGGATCTTCAGGTCTCCTTCTTCGGTTTTGCTCAGTTTTGGCTACTAATTCACCTCGCAATTTCCATTTGTCATTCCCAAGAGAAAATCTACATCCTCTAGTGTGACTGTGTCTACGAGCTACCTCATTTTTGAAAAATACTTTGGCCTTTGAAGTATGCATTTATGCTCCTCCCACTCCAGAACAAAGTACTCATTACATTCTCATTGAGGGGTGAGAGCAATGTGAAAATGATTTGGATAGGAAAAATCAAAAAAATTATGTGTATATCACAGAGTAATTCATGAACTGGAAGAAGAGTTTTTTTTTGTTATTTTATGAAAATTCATATAATTCTGCATTTCAGATGGCACGAAATATGACCGTTGCATTCGCGGCTCAATGTGAAGGTGAGTGGAATCAATCAAATGGTGTTTGGGACTAACCTGTCAGACTGAGAGCCTAGGTACCAGGACTGCTATTTAGAAACTTTTCGAGCTTCTTCCACTCAAACTCATATTCAGGCCCTCATTAATAAAGAAAAAATAGAGCGGTGTTACTACTTAAATCAAGCTTTCGATCCATTTACTTTGCAGCGGCCCACCTAAGAAGTATGGAACAATGTCGTTATCAGTTGCTGCAAATGCATCGCAAAAATCTGGACCTGATTCTTGATTTCCTGATTTCGTTTACCGTATCATGAACATTTGATGGGTTTTATAATACCAGAGTTTTTTTTTTATAAAACTAGCCCCATCTCTCTACAACAGAGGGGCTAATTAGTTGCCCTTGAACATCCCGACAGTGGTTTTTGATAGAACTTGAGTAGTAAGCAAACGATGAAAAGCTTATAGTGAGCAGTTTAGCTTTAATCACTGATGATGCACTAATGAAGAAGTTAGCGGATGAGAAGTTTGATGTCGGTATTGCGGAAGCTTTCAGCATCTGTGGTTTAGGTGGGTACTGATCGAAACACTTTCCCAGAAGGTGGTCGAACACTTCTATCCCACATAAGTAAAGTTTTATATTTTAACTTCCAGGGATAATCGAAGCTCTGAAGATCCCATCTTCAATTGCCACGTTTTCTGGTGTACATATGGATATTGTATCGAAAAGTATTGGAGAGCCAATAGTTCCAAGTTACGTCCCAGGTAAGACCAGCAATTAAAAATCTGTTCGGCGGTAAATACCGTCCAAATCAAATGCTTCACTGGGGAAGTGAAAAGTTTTTGCAAAGCTCATTTCTATTACTTTAGGACATATGGCCATCAAAGGCGATCGTATGAACCTCATCGATCGGCTGATGAACATTGCCGACATGGTGTTGGGGCAGAAGTTTTTTGGCGACATTTTCATTGAAGAAATCAAAGTTTTACGAGCCAAGTATGGGCAGCGGTTCAAGGATTATGATGTAGGTTCCTTGACGTTTTTCTCTGGGATGAATCTTTTACTTCCTACAACATCATATCAGAGGTAAACAGTAGTGGACCATGTGAAGCTCATGGCCTCCATCACCTGATTGGATTCAGAATTGGGGAAGTGGGGAAACGCTGGCTTATGTTTCGCGCGGTCTCCCATCCTGTCATCCTGTGAGTTGGAGGGGTTTAGATATGGAGAAGGTCTGACTTTGGCATTACAGTCCGAGCCAGAGACCTTGAAAAGGTGACGCTTCTTATACGCCCCATTCTTGAAGGGCTATCCACAAGAACACAATTGCGAAAATGATCATCTAGTGATTCCCCGAAAAGACAAAAAAGAACTCTTTTTTCAGGAACTTCTCGCTGATGCTTCTTATGTTTTCACAAATTCAAACCCCTATCTCGACTATCCTCGTCCGATGCTTCACAAAACAGTCCCCCTTGGGGGAATAACTGTTCATATCGATCCCATGAAGAATGTTCTTCCAAAGGTACAGATATTCATGTTATTGTGTAATGCTCGGGATTCTTTTCCTCCAACTCCTTTCTGATTACAGAAGTGGGATGACATTTTGAACGAGAGAAACACTACCGTATTCGTATCGTTTGGTTCAGTGGCTAAATCGATGTACATGCCAGATGAATATAAGTGAGTCCTTTGGTGGGAGTACGTTTTCTGTAGGTAACCTGAAAACACCTGAGGGTGACTAAGTCGAAGATCGAAAATGAAGAAATTCTGAAGTTTTCAGGAAAAATCTTCTGAAAGTCTTCGAAAGCATGCCTGAAACGACGTTCATATGGAAATACGAAGAAGAAGGTTCAAAATTGGGCGCTCATCTTAAGAATGTTCACCTCAGTACATGGGCACCACAGAACGCTCTTCTCGGTGAGTGCTTTTTATAAAATATAAAGGATCATTAGAAAAGCGAGAAGTAGAAAAGAAGAAAAAAGACTTCTAAAAAGGTGTTCTTTGATGTTTGAGGACGATCCTTCTTATTTACTTATTTATTTAGTTTCATTTATTTATTTATTTATTTAATTAGCCCTCCCTCCCTGAACTAGCTCTCTCCTGTTTCCTTCTGAGTAACTGTCGTCTGGAAATTCTCATTCCTACCTATTTCCATTTCTTATGAGCCCACTCCCCTTTGGCTCTTCCACCTGAGTACTCCACGAGGTAGAGTATCGAATCGAACATACACCATTTCAGAAACTCATATACATATATCTTCTATCGTAATAATTGACCTCCATTTCGCCCTTGATTACCTAATCAGCCAGTAGTTAATTCCTCATTATTATTATCTATAATATAATAATTACTATTATTGGGAGACGATGGGGGCAATGGGAAATTGCATGAAAGAAAGCGATAAAGAAACCTTGAGTATAAAAAAATTTCAGCTGATCCTCGTCTGACAGTTTTCATCACCCATGGAGGTTTGGGTAGCACCACCGAGCTGGCTCATCTGGGAAAACCAGCTATACTTGTAAGTTTTTCATAAAAACTCTGCGAAATACACCCTCTCGATGTTTTTGATTCCACATGTCTGAAAATAGCAATGACTACTTTTTCTTCTTCAAGATGCCGATCTTTGCTGATCAGACCAGGAACGCCAATATGTTGGCTAAACACGGTGGAGGTATTGTACTGACCAAATTCGCTTTGGAAAATCCACAGATCATCAAAGATGCTTTGAAAAAGATCTTCAACGATAAAAGGTACGATTTTAATATTTACAAAAAAGTGCTTCGGACAAAGTATTCGTTCGAAATGAGGGGTATTTCAGCTTCTCTCAGAATGCTAAACGATTATCGGAAATGCTCCGGAATCAACCCATCAATACCGAGGAGCTTCTCATTAGATACAGCGAATTCGCTGCAAAGTAAGTTGATTTCGTCGCAAAATCTCGGTCCGGGAGGAGAAAAAACCGCTAGAGCCTGGAAAAAAAATCAGAAAAAAATGGCTCAGCGTGTTTTTCTGGAAGGTAAATATAGAGAGACACTTGTCTACGAACTGTACGAGACGTGCTTTGCGAAGATAGTTGGAGGGGCTTCAGCTTCAGGCCATTACTTATTGATGGTCCACATTAACTTATTTTCTGTAACTTCTTTTATCCTTGGCAACCGGCTCATGCTTATTTGAAATGTACTTTCCCAAACTTCACTTGGATTCTTTCCAGATTCGGGCGTCTCCCAAATCTTGATCCCTACGGAAGGCACTTATCTTTCATTGAATATTTCCTCATTGATATTTTTCTTGTTGTTAGCAGTATCATTGTTCTTGTTGCCTTTATTGCCTTTAAAATTGTTAGGAGGTGTTTTACTGTTAAAGCTAAAACTAAAATTGAGTAATCTAATTGGAAATTTCACTGTATAGATATGATTTATCAATAAAAATTTGATTTAATTCTGACTGGTAGGCTGTTGTTCATAGTATTTTATTTTATCAACTGCTTTCGGT